TTATAAGTGGAAAAAAGTAGTGAAAAATCATAATTAGTGCAAACATTTAGCATATAAAAGTCACAATTCAAGAAAAATTGTGGCTGCAGACGACTACCAAGATCAAAAACAAGTTTGCCTACTAGTCACTAAAAGTCAAGTATTATCGCCAGACTGTACACGCTGAGGTGGCTCCGTTAAATTCAAAATGACTGACTTATATTATATACAGGTATATCGCCATTTTAAAATCTCCAGATTTAGCATTTTAAAAGTTGGCAGGTCTGATATATAATATATCAGCCTAGTCCCAGGCTCTGTTTACTATATAAATATGACTCGTGTTTACTAAAATATATAGCCATATTAAATGCTATCTAGAAGCTTGAAAATTATGCCGAGTCTCCGACTAAAAATGTTTTAACAACACCGTCATGTCAGGCAAATATTTCCAATAACCTCAGCAATTCAAACCTGTCAAGTAGAAAGCGTAGTTGTGTATACCAGTATGGTCTAGTGTTGATCACAACTTGCGAGCATATAAATAACATCAACGATTGCTCAAACTCGGTATCGTAAATTTGTATATAAATTTTTTTAGTTGAGCACATTTTTAATACGGTTTGATTTGGTTATGTAGACATCGAACATGCACATGATAAACGAACATTGTCGTATTTATAATTAAAAGGTTACTTGTATATATAAATTTTCTGCCATATTAAAAATACTGAAATCTGCTAGGCGTTCTGAAGCACCTTGAGCGGTGACGTCACACCTAGGTCCCAGTCTCGTACTACATCCACTTTTTTCTCGCGCTTGCTTCAGAACGACTGGGACTAGGCTGATAATATATCACTGCTTTACTGCCACCTATGATTAGGCCATTTCAATTATTACCCGCACCCCCTCAACGGATGAGCTGACTGATTCCTACTCAATACTGGTCCTAAATTAATTGGCAGTATAGTACAGTATAGACTTTATTTCACGAGGGTAACACTTGACAGTATAAGTAAAAAAAACTACTGATAAATTTGTGGCCCTCAAAATTGAGTTGAAAATAATCATGAATTGAAAGCGTGAAACGCTGATTCCCAAGGGTAGCATTTTACAAATTATCATTATATATATGAGTTTCTATTAAATTCTATAATGACTATAAATGGTCATTTAGGTGCCAGTTTCCCCAAAGCGCATCCATGAAATGAGGGGAAGCGACTACATCAACATTTTATACAGATATAAATTAGTATAAATATACAGCCAATTTGGCTATTAAAAGCATTGATAAAACGTTTGTTTCCTCTATAATGACCGTATATTATTCGCTAATATTTATAGCACACAGAGGAGCAGATATTAAATAACATATTTGAGCGCACTTAGCAAAGCAAACAATAAAACATGTGTTTGTATCTGTCATGGCCAAGCTGGAAAATTGTTCACTAAAATTTGCTTAGCTTTAGCTTTCCCCAGTAAAACAGCAGGAGCACAGTAAAAACAGCGAGGCCTATTATTTAATAATAATCGGTCGAATATACCAAATTGACAAAAAAATATCTAAGTTACATTCACAAATAATTTGGAACGCGCAGCAGCAATTAATATGAGTAAACACAATAAAATTTCATAAATAAAACTTACCGTTTGATAGCGTAAACGTTGTCTTTTCTTTTTACCTCTCTTCACTTTAAAATGAGATACACAATATCTCCACAAATCACTTTTAAAAATACTGTTAAAATGCTTTGATTGCTTTGAAATTTGAATAGATTTGCGAATTGCGATTGCTCCTACTTTCACAGCGTAATACCATAGATATCTCATATACACTAGATATAGCGCATCCCACCCTGTAGCCGGGCGAAAATTGAAGCCTGATCGCAGTCGCATTTTACGCGAGGCGGCCATATTGGTCGTTCCCACGGAGCGTGATAATTTGTATATTTTGTATTGCGGAAATGGACAAAGTTGACCATAAATCCTCTTTTATGCAGTCAATTTTGGGTTTTTAAGTGTGAAACTTGTTGTCAATGATACCAGATCGTTGGAGCTTCATATTGTGAATAACGGGTAGGCAAAATTTAATTATTTTTTCTGAAAATATCAATATTTGTCGACCCGTATGAAGGGCGGCCATATGACAACTATGGACAAACCATTGCGATTTTTCAATATTTTGCTGTTAAATATATCATGTTGTGTGTGGAATTAAGATTTTGATGCATATTCATATATAAGTATAGTTCCACCAATTCCAAATAACATGGCCAGAAATTGCGGACATGGATTCTGAGCATGTGCGAACTTTGACAAACAAAATGGCGGATTTGTTATATATAAATCATTAGGAGTGGCGCGGTTTTTTTTAATTTAAACTTGTTTGATAGTAGCTATGTCATTTGCAGACTTCGCAATAATATAAACTATATCTGGACCGTAAAACAGAAAAGTTTCGCATCGAAATCTTACCTATAAGTTGTTCCATTATTCAAGTTCACTTCATAGTATATCGGCGTATAATAAAGTATAGTAAAACTTGAGAAAATCGTCGAAAACGTACATTTTGCTCGGGCCGCATATATCCCTCAAACCCTTCATGAAATTTGCAGACTTCGCGTCGTAAAATATATGTTGTCCCCTACATGTCTGCATAATTTCATAGTGATACGAATTTTTTAACTTGTTCCAATTTACGGGACAAAATGTTGATATTTTACCAATGAATATCCTGTCCATAGGCCGTAAAACATTGCAAGAAGAGCGATGTTTCATGAATTGTCGTCCATGTTTGATATCAACAAGAAGCTTAGGAACCAGGCTTTCTTCCAGTGTGGGATACACTGAGGGATAGCGATGTATACACAAAATATTTGAGTCGTTTACCATGCGCATCACTTTATATCCTATCATAATAAATGAAAGGTATGTAAAAAGCCGACAATACCTAATATATCTATTTTTTCTGCTTTAGTTAAACAAAAAACGAAGCAAAATGTATTTTTTTAGTTAAAACATACGTTTGTTAGGTATGAATAACTTTTCATAAGAAAAACCGCTGAGATATATTGCGGGC